GGGGGGCTGGTTGTTCATGCAAGTGCCAGCCCAACGAAGAGGCTTGCGTTGAAAACTGATATCGGTGGGGACGCTCACCGTCGTACCTGCTACACTTTGAACTATTGGTCACGCTGTGACTCTACTTCACTATAAAGGGCTAATGCACTCTGCAAACATGAGCGGTCGCCGTCGGCTCGCCGTGTCGCCGCTTCCTTTTCTCAGCGTTTTTTGTGAAAATTGAATGGTTCGTCAAAAATTCTCGGAAAAATTGGAAGCTTCGGCCTCATACGGTCATTTACGTTTGTCGTATCGAGTTTCCGACAGGACGTGCGCAATGGGAAGAAGGGTTACCGCTTTATGTAATAAGCAGAATTTTTGCAATATTGAAACATATAATCTAAAAATGGAGAATATAGAATTGAATTGATAGAATATGTTTGTTTTGAGATTCTATAACCTAAACAGTAGTAAAGATTTTTTGAATATATTCAGGTGGATTAATGTAATTGAAATAGATTAGTTTTTTATGTTAGTAATTTGATTGGGATTGGTTATCGGCCTAAAGGTGTTGAAAAGGTTTGTTTTTGAATATATATTTTAAAATGACGAATTAGTAGTTTGTTTGAAAAATATAGTTGAAGATGATTTAATATTGATATTCTTATGTTATTATTGTTATCGTTATTATATATTTCTAATGTTAGTTATATATTGTTTCTATTCTTCCCGAGTGCGTAGCGAAGGGTTTTTATTTAATTCTGGGGATAGAATTTTATTCGCGACCTATTATTGTTATACTCGTAATCGTCCGTAGTAGAGCGTTAAGGCGTTGCTATTGGGGGAAATTTTTGGTGAGGGTTTCGAATGAAAATGTAAAGCACTAGATTCGTGGGGAATAATAAGGTATCGTGGGGGAATATAAGATGTTGAAAATATGGAGGATGATTTTATTATATAGGTGCGGTATTTTGTGAAAACCGTAGTTTGTTGCGTAGTTTTATTGGGATTAATATTTCGAATTGGTTTTTGTTACTTATCGTAACCATTGGATAGAACCTACGTGACCGCTTATTAGTTTTATAGAAGATATGTTCATCGGATTTATGATCTTCTGTCTATTTATCTTGGTCTTATAGTTCGTTATCTTCGGCGATGTGGATGAATTGGCGGGATTTCATCGTCTTTGGAAGCTTTGGTTTAGCTCGTCGGATTGTAGGTTGGTGGATATGTTTGTAATTTTGTCCGAGGATTATGGATATGGATTTTTCGATGTTGTTGAGGCATATGTCGGTGCCGGTCTATATATAGATTATTTGTTCTTGATCTTTGCTTAAGCCAGCTTTTTTTAATAATAGCTAACAAACGACCTGGTTAGGGAGAGTAATTTTGTATTTTTGAAGTTCTCGAAGGGATTGCTGGTGCTCGGTGCAAAATTTAAGGAGCGACTGCCCAACTCTATGTTATATTTTGTAGAAGTACTTCTCGAAGGAGTCGGATATTTCCCTACGATTATTATATTGCCATTGGGAATCCAGCCTTTGCAAAGGGCTTTTGAAGCCATCGTCCTTCTCTAGGATATCTAAATTTAGGTCTTCGCATTGGCGCTAGCATGTACTTTCCAAGATCGACAGGATAATTAATCCTATTTCATTGATTTTTTGTTGGATCGCCCGGCGGCGGGCGAACAACTGCTTTTGGGATATGAAGGAGCACAATTTGTGTCCTTGCTTAGCAAATGCAACGGGTTTGCTAGGGGTGCCGCAAATGCTTCACTGATGCGGTGCAGGTCCGCAATGTAGTCATGGTTAATCTCCTCTGGAATGTCTCCAAAGGAAGTGCCATGGAGTGCGCTTTCTGCCACCCTCCGCTAGAGGCATGTCCGGACTAGTCGGTTAATTTGCTTGTTGGAGATGCATAGCCTCGCCATTGGCCATTCACGAGGAAGGTCGCTGTACAGCTGTAGCGAGGGTGGTGCCATTCCTTTCGTGTTAGTGTCGGCAGTTGCATGGACGGCTAATTGGAGTGCATGTAGCGCCTGCATGGCTCTCTGCTCTGCTTCTAACTGTATATCGGTGGCAGCAGTGCTTCCTCTTTCTACATTCTTTTGGTCATTGTCGAGGTCAATTTCTGTCATGGCTTGGGGGTGTTTCTGTGCCTCTTCCGGCTGCTCGGATGGCGAGGCTGGGTCCTTATTGACTGGGGATTTTTGCATTTGATCAGTAGGATCCTTTTATGCCACTCTCGGTAGCCGGTCATCGTGTTGTCGAATCGTGGGATCTAGCTTCATTTATCTTTTCCAAGGATGCTCTTATCGACCGGTCCATTGGCCTGCGAGCTTTATATGGCGGCGGGCGGATCCGGAATTGTTTTTTTGGCAGCTCCGCTATCAATATAAAAATATAGAAAACAAGAAAGGGAGAAGAATCGAGTTCACCGTCGATGCGGAACGCTTTAGCTTTCCGTGTAAATGTGTCGGGTCCTTTTCTCTTAAGAGCATAAACGAATAACCACCTCAAGTGGTCCAAGCGAGCTTAAACAGCGGCGAACGGAAATATAAATATAAATGTAATCGTCCTTATATAATAGCGATTTTCTTCTATTGCTTCAAATTAACAATAATATTAATAGAATTATATAAAATTTGCCGATTTAATATATTATTCATTATAAAATTATTTATACAATATATTATCATATAATTTATTAATAACGACCGAAAAATCATTCGTTTAATAAATTATCTATAATTCATTCATAAATATATATTATATCAATCCAAAACACTCCTAATATGCTAAATATTTCATTATTCTATAATATATATTTTTTAAAAAATAAATAAAGCATAAAATTCCCATCAAAATATGTTTTTAACCTTAATCGAATTATTAAATTTTCCCTTATTAAAATATAAAAAATAAGAATAAATATTATATTCCAATCCACGAATATTATATAATAATACACGAATATCGCGACGACCAATCCAAACATATCGAAAAATAATTTCTATAAAACAATTCCCTTCCTTTTCGCAACAAATATTCCTTCCTTTTCCTTCCTCCTCTTTCGTTCCTATTCCGATCGACGTCCGAGTAGTATAAACCTTAAAATCAATTCAATTAAGAAAAAATAATATATATTCAAAAATCAATCAATATATCAATTATTAAATTCAAAAAAATCTATATATATGTCGCAAGCCAAATTCAAAAGTATCCCCTGAAAAGCTACCTATCGTAATGATATCTAGAATATTTAATATGTTTAATATGGTTTTAATAATTCTTCATTTGGCGAGGCTTCCAACCTGGCAAATTGCATTCTTATACCAGAATACAATGAAAAATATTCAAGACACCCCAGGCCAAGCCCTTGGCATGTTGCCGGTGTAGGCATACCGTCCCACATGGGTCATTGTGGTCTTCAAAAGTATTTGCAGCACAAGCAAATTCTTAAAAATTCAATTCTATTGCTCTCGAAGGCATTGCATTGACATTTCAGCATGTGATATATCGTGTTCGTTTTCCAACGCTATTACAAACACACCTCGATAAGGCTGGGCATATCAAACTCAGGAAAGGACTCCCAGGTCAGCCCAAATAGTTCCTCCAATGTTCCGCCAACGGCGGCAAAAGGCGATGTCCTGTCAGATCCAAGCATAAATGGTATATCAAAGAAATATTGGTTGATCATTTGTTATATTTTGGGTGGGGTATGTCCGGCCTCACCGAGGAATTCGCCACCCTCAACAGCTGTGTCAAAGAATCTCCACCAAACATCATAGCCTAAGTGGCAATCTCATTCACCCGTGCATCTTCAAACCCGTTCTCTGGCCTCCCTGGTGATATTATCGTCTAAGACATTGTGTAAAGCAAAAAGTCATTAAACGCTATATAATCACACTTACGCGGAGAGAAACGATTGCAAACATCTTCATCAGAATTGTCCTACTAGGAACAAGAAGCTATTAGGAGCAAGGGCATCGCTCCTAGTAACAAACGGCATTCTTACTATATACTAGGAACAAAAGGACGCTACTAGTTGATGTAGTTCATACTTTGCCCACCGCAACTTGGTTCTCGTTCCTTCCCAATCCTGGGGTGGCCAAACGTTGCGCCCGTCCAGCGTGAGAGCCAGTGATGCGACAGTGCATATCGGGATATGCCTCGCAGGAATCACTGAGATGTTCAGGTTCAGGAGAGTAAGTGTTGACGTCGCTTCGGCAAACTTGACTGACTTTGGAAAATCGCGCTTCTTGCCTGGATGAGCTTGTGAAAGACCTGGCGTTTGATGAGCATGCAGCCAGTCGGCCCAGCATCCACCTCTGCATTGTGACAATGGACAGCCGTAACGCTATATCAGCGAGCCACAAACGCTCTTATGAGCATCCTTATATCCACAAGCGAGCACTCTGCCTCAATCAGAGATGAGCCCTGCTCCAATGCAGCCTGCACCTAGATGATGTCTCTTCTGCGGAAAAAAGGGAACGAAAGGGTAGTAAGTCTCAGAACCGCAGCATGTTTAGAATCAGTTTAGCTGGTCGCTGCAACAAAAAATCTGGAAGCGCTGAGGAACACACCTGCTGTGGCTGCGCATGCAGAACATAGTGGAGCCCATCTCTGAGCCTTGCGTCTGGCCGAGCTGGAGGTGATTTGCCAGGTGGCAGGTGGTACATATCCAGAAGTCTTAGCTCTCCAGTGCCACCACCAGATGCCATTTGCCCCCGCCTGGCACTGCCACCTCGTCGAGCTGCGGTCTCAAGCATCCTGCGAGCTGGCGATCCAACAAGTCGCTAGCGGCATGAAAAGGACACAGGACTCTCTCCAAGCACTCTTGGAAATCGAACCTGTCTTCGTTGAGGCTCTTCGCTGGATACGGAGCCAGGATCACATCTTTATCTGGCACTCAAAGGGTGTCAGACGGTGTCAGAGCAAAACTTATCTGATCCCCATCCACTGACTGAACCACTTGTGATTCGTGATATATATATATATATGTACGTATAATATTATTATAATATATATATATAGGCCTACTTGCATCAGTTCCTATCAGGATCACATAACTGCCTTAACGCTGCACAAGTACTTTCCTGTGTGACAATATCCTCGACCGCCACCCCGCACTGCGAGGTTGGCATGAACAAGTGGGGCTTTCGTGTACACTTGGGAGAAGACGGTGTGAAAACTTTGCAACGCTTGACTGTCTTGTTCAGCCCTGAAGCTTTGAGAACGTGATTGGCATGGCGTTTCTGAAACCTCCACAACCCCCGTCTCTGAAGCCCATGCCGGCGGCCACTGCCTGCTCCAAGCATCTTTCGGATGGTGTCTACTGTGAAGGCAACATCCGCATCCAGGAAAAGTAAATGAGTACAATCCTCGCTCCACAGCAAATGGCTGACAAAGACTGTTCGGTTCCCACACCCGCTCCTTGAAGTATGCATTGATACAGAATGCTATGTGTGAATTTCCGAAACCAGTGCACTTGCTATCAGCTCTTTCATCTATCACGTTACCTTGATGATGGTGCGAGCTCAAAGCGAAGAAACAACACACAGGGGCAAAAACTCTCCTCTTGGGCCTACATGGTGCATTAAAGCTAGGCCCCTGGCAGTACCTAGAAATTCCATGACGGCCTCAGGAAGCTGACACTTGGCTGATTTCCCCACCATCTCTTGCAGAAATGCTTCCTGATGTCAAGGCTTGCCCAACTCCGCAAAGTCTAAGGTCCGAGCATTGTTCCTGCCGACTGTAATGATGGACCTTACACGGTGAGTGGCAGAAAACCGTTGGCCGACCATAGTCCTGCACACTGGGCTCGCTGCTGCCCAGCGACTAGAGAGAGCTGCCAGGCAACCTGACAGCTTCAAGAGCTCAAACATTTTGAGGTAAAAGAACACGATGAATATGACACAGCTACCAAGCAGCACAGGCATCCAAAAAAACCATCGGATCAGTACCTTTTCTGGAAAACCATTATGCAGCTTTCATGTCTGCCGTGTGCAGTGACTGAAAGCAAACCGGCTTCAGCCCGGTGACTGGAGAGCAAGAACCTATGCTGGGAGTACGCCTGCTGGAGGTTTTGCCGGGCGCTTTAGCCATGGCTAAGCGTGTTCAAAAGCACCAAAGGGCTCACCCCCCTCACTTTAGCCATGGCCCATTCCTCCACCGGTTCCGGGGGGCCACCTCCTTCAGCTGTGTGACCATGTGGATCACTGAGGTCATGTAATCCACCGTCACCTGACCACCGTAGGCCGGCGTGGCGATGTAGACCTGATGCGGCCAGCGTCTGGGTTCGCAGAATAGGTTCGTTGTGCTGCTTGTGAAGAAACCACTCCGTGGTTGCCGAATTTGTTGGCCGAATCTCGTCTTCCAGCCTTGAGTCCATCTGGCAGCTCTTTTCCTCAAAGAAAGATTGGCTAAAACGACCTAAAGCCTGGAAGGGCAGTGCTGAAAGTCACTTGCAGTGACTCCCGTTGAGTTGGTACAGTCGGTACAAAAAGAAAGACTGATAGAAGCTCTTTACACCCCACAAACCACCTAAGGTTTCACGTATTTTCACGTATTGCCGACACCATGCTGACAGGACATCTAAAAATAGTTTGATTGTCGTCACTATGGAGCACTTGAGCGGCTGTGGGTGCAGGTTCTGTGGAAGGATGGCAAGGCGGTCATTGAAGGATGCTGCCAGTGTCTTTTTCTGTGGTCTGTGCTGAACAAGGCCGCAGTGCTCCCTTGGCAGCTAGGTACCAAGGGTCTCGGTACTGGAGCTTACTTGGACTTGAGAAGCCATATTTCTTGACCAAAGGGATTGGAAATTGGAAGGGTTTATATAATTAAGTCCAGGGACGTCAAGGCTCCGCAAGGGAAGCAATATTGTTTGCCCCGATCCCAAAGAAGTGTATGAGCTTTTGGACGGAACCCAAATGACAAGTGTTCTGCTTTGGTGTCCACGTTCACTTGCTTTGAACAATTAGTTCAATTACAGTAACAAATTACAAACGTGGACTCGTGAAGAAAACGGACAACTTGCAAGAAAACGTGAAACTAGACTTGCAAAACTCTTCCTTTTTCTCAGCAGGTGGTCGTGGGGTGGGACGGTGGTGATGCGGTGATGCGATGATGGATTTGCTGGTGGATGTGGTGGCAGTGTTGCGGAAGTGATTCCGCAGTTGCTTCTATAGGCCAAGCAGTCGTTCGCATGTCACGCACGCAAAGAGGATGGCCTTTTCAATCCAGACTTCATGCTGCGTTGCTTCAGCAATCGTTTGCATGGCCTCCGCTTGAGGGATGACACGCACAAATCGGAAGTGCATCAATCCCAGCGCCGATTGAGAGCATTCGATTTGTCAAATTGACAATGGCATATGACACGACATCCGACCGTGGCTCAAGTGCGGAAGAAGCACCTCTCGCGTGCTGCTTTCGACGGTCGCGGGAAGGGCGGAACAGGTTCAACTAAATCACATTTTGGTCATGTTGTTCCTTTTCACGCTTTGTTTAAGCATAAAAATCTGAGTTTTCATGAGTGTTGGTGGTGGTGGCGGCGGCAGTGCTTTCCTTGCACCTACCATAATGCAAACCAGGAGAGGTAGTCTTCATTCATTGTTTCACTCAGACTTTGGTGGTGGTGTCTTTGTATGTATGCACATTGTGATGATGCTTTGCAAATATCCCCCAGTAGTACTTATTAGTATGCGCTACCACAACACAGTGGACCAGGGGGGTTTGATCTGGGGGGCCTCCTCTCTGTGATGATCCAGTGAATCCAGTGTCAATAAATTCTTGCTAAAGCAAAGTGCCATTTAGAACTCTTGGCCACACGAGCCCCCGACCAGTATATGGCCCTCGCACTTCTGGTGGGTAGTAGATGGGCACCTGGACTTTACAAGCACAAGCAGCCGCAACTGCGCTGCAAAAAACAAATCGATTCATCTCTCTTTGTCAACTCGGCCATCTTTTACCATCTTTTACCAACCCTCGCAAAGCTCTGGTTTTGAGCCCCCCGCCGTCTTGGGCTCGGGTACACTTGGTGCCACTGGAGAAGTTCTGAGACAAGAGTGCTTTGCGTTGCTCGAGTTGCTTCATGCAGCCACCCACCTAGCTGCAGTTGGTTGAGATGTTGGCCTTGGACAAAGGCAGTGTGAGCTTCCCTATGCAATTTCTCATAAGTTCTCTTCGTGGTCTGTCTGTCTTTGTGTGAAAAAGAAGACTGTTCACTAAACACACCTCTGTGCAAAAAGAACACCCAGTGCATCAGGTTGGATTAGTTTTCGGATATCATCGCAGGCATAAATAACGTTCAACCTTGTGGTGAACTCGTTTGTTTGAACTAGAGCCTGCAAATATTTGTCGGCCAAGTTGAGCCAGTGGCCAACAACATTGAGCCTCTGCATCCGGTGGCTGAGCTCAGCGCTGATTCCCTGGTCGCTGCCCCCTCAGGGTTTCCGGTCACCAACTAGAATGGTGAACGCAATACCACAGACTGATCAAACTTAGCTGCACAGAAGGTTTATCGGTTCATGCAGCTCTCGCGTCACATCGAACTCCAGCCGATGACTAGCACATTCTCTCATCTTTATATCACCTTATTTACGAATGCAACAAGCCAAACTTGGCATCCTACAACATCAAATATGTGCGAATCAAGCATTTTGACTGCGTCTGAATTTCAGCTCTCCAATCTTTGTGATTGACAGAACACTTTCGAGTGGCAGGGTTTCTGAGTCCCCTCGCGGCGCTGGAAGCCCTGCGGCTGCCCGGGCAGCTGCACGCTGTGCCAAGGTCTGAAGTTTGCTCGCTGCTTTAAGTCCGGAAGTGTCTTTAATTTGAGCGCCAACAGCATGGCAAGTTGTTGGCTGTTGTTCGCTTTAAGTCCTTTCGTTACACTCCGGAAATCAACCCCGGGCAGCTCAGTCTTCCGGACCTGGGCACGCTCTGAGTCAGGCCGCTTGAGTCGGGCCACTGCCCGTCGCCAAACCTGACACTGTAAGGTTTGGACATTCGGGTGAAACACTTGGAACTTTCACAAGGTGCATCGCTACTAGTAACAAGAAGCTACTAGTAACAGTAACAAGGTGCCCACTCTCTGCCTCTAACTCGTCAGGCACATCACTTCGACCTGTGATTCTGCATGAATCCAAGAATTACGCCGACATGAGAGGCTCGCACGACAAACAAAACAGGCTAAATAGGTCTTCATGAGTTCAGTTAAGACCCCATCCTTGTGCTCCACTGGCACGTCGACTGTGCACCCCAAGAAAACCACCTGAGTACCATCACATATCACACGTGTCTGTTCACTTTCCAATCACAATTCAATGCTCCTTTGAAAATTGGGCAACGACCAAGCAGCAGTGCCTTTGAGATGGCCTTCAGGAGATGTGCGGCAATCAGCTTCCGTAATCACTGTTTTTAACCATCCAGGATGAAGTCTACTTTGCCCATCCGCCTTCCGGGAAGATTCATTCAACACCAATGAGCTTCTGCCCCTGACAGATTCTGGCTATGTTGGCAAACTCTTCAGAATCTTAGCCACCCAATAAAAAAGGACGAGAAAGTATCGTCAGCTCCTTGAGCTTGACGTTGGCACCCAACAGGGCAGGCAAGCAAAGTTGCCTCGAGCATCTCAAGTCGATCAGAAATTGCAAGCAGGCATAGCTTAGAAAGAACATGCTGCATGCTCTAAACCACCATGTCAGCATGTTAGTTGTGTATTCAGCCTCAAAGTGAGCAACTCTGGCAAGATCATTTGCTTCAAGAAAGCAATCTATGGAATAGTTGGTCTATGTCACGATTGCAGTGAATTGCACGAATGGATCGCACGTGCACCCTGGTGCTTCGCAATGTTCATCGAAGCTGCAGTTCCGCCAGGGCACATGCCGGGGTAGCATGCTATGCAAGAAGCTGCGACTTCACATTGCTTTATGAAAGAAGGCACACAAATGAAGACAAAAGCAGTGTGAATGTGTGACCCAAGGAGTCCAAATGGTTTCAGATCAATGAGGAGGTGTGAACTGGCACGTTAGCTTGAACTGAACATTCGCTGCAGATCTGTCTTCACCGACCAGTTGATTTCTCCTGGGTTGCACAGCTGGCCAGCATGTCTTGCCTTGAACAGGGAGTCCCTGTTACACATGCTCTGGAAGCCCCATGTCCAGGATCAGGATCTGCAATGGTACTCAAGCCGACTCAAGCCTACACACATCTGCCATTAAGTGGGCATCGCAAAGCTGCAAAGTCATGTCAGATACATCATGCCATTAAAAGGTCTTGCATCACAACAGCGGAGACTGAAAACGTGGATGGCATCCAGATTCTTATTAACCGCGCAAGTTTGATGGGCGACTGAGCTTGGGAAAAAGTATGCAGTAAATCAATGGCAAAATTGGAAGGACAACTTTGGCCCATGAAAGGACAATCAAAGCGATTCCAGCAAGATCGCATGCGTCTAGCCAGCAAGCACTAGATCTGCCGAATCCGCCTCTGCTTCTTTGTGGACACATTCTCTTGCAGCATATTCAAGAGGTCAAGCTTGTAGTTCTGCTCTTCTATCTTCAAGTCCAGAAACGAATGCCCTAACTCAAGCGCCGAATTCACCCTTGCGCTGCCTTCTGACGGAAAATCCAACCACTTCCCACCACCCAAGTCCACTTGCCAAACGCCTTTGGCGTGGAGAACTTGGACCTGTGCAGGGAAGATCATAGCGTACCCTGTTCTTCAACAACATTCCATATTAGTTTTGTAGAACCTCAATCCGAAACTATGAGTTTTAAGGTTTTGGTTTGTCAAGCTATGGTTTTTCAATAAACATAGCTTAAAGAACCTTGGAACCTCAATTTGCCTATTGAAAAAGCATACCGGATGTTGCACCTGAGTGAAGGGATCCCAAGTGACGCTCGCAGGTGTGCCACCAGAGATCTCCAGCTTCACTTTGAAGGCAGAACCAAAGCGAATAGTACCCTCTAAAAGTTTCCCACGGTTTTTGCCAATGGTCCAGTCTTTACCTGCGTTTTTGTTGTCAGGTCCCAAGATCGAGTGGGGTAGACTAGGATTCGCATCCTTCATGTCTGGGTACAAGACTCTTTCCCAACTGCCACCTTCCAAAATCTGGAAGCTCTCCCATCCAGTCTGTCCAATGGAAACAACGTACACAAAATGAAAGCCATTCCAAGTCATCTTTCGGGGCTTCCAAGCACTAAAGGTTCCTGCAATCGAAAAGGACC